CTCCTCCTCCTCCTCCTCCTCCTCCTCCACGCCGCCGATCTAAGCGCAAGATGAACCAGGTGTACGAGCTGCTCGACCGCGGATACGTGCCGGACGTGGTGCTGCGTCGGGCGATCCGGCTGCTCAACGCGCAGCGCATCCGATCGCTCGCCAAGCCCGAAGACGATTTCGGACTGCACGTTGCGACCAAGAGCGAGTACATCCGATCGCTGCAAACGCGCGAGATCGCCATCGAGCAGGATAAGGCGAACGAGCAGCACTACGAGGTGGATACGGGATTCATGCTGAGCTGCCTCGGCAAGCGCGCAAAGTACTCGTGCTGCCTCTACGAAACTGGCAAGGAGACGCTCGACCAGGCGGAAGAGGCGATGCTCAACTCGTACTGCACCAAGGCCGACCTTCGCGATGGTCAGGATGTGCTGGATCTCGGATGTGGATGGGGTTCGTTGTCGTTGTATCTGGCCGAGAGGTATCCGAACTCGCGCATCCGGGCGCTGAGCAACTCGCGCACGCAAAAGGTGTACATCGACTCGATCGCCGCCCAGCGCGGATTCACGAACCTCCAAGTGCACACTGGCGATGTCAAGACGTACGAGTTCGACGAGGGAAGCTTTGATAGGATTCTGAGCATCGAGATGTTTGAACACATGAAGAACTACGCCGACCTGTTCAAGAAGGTCGCCTCGTGGTTGAAGGATGGCGAATCGCGCCTCTTCATCCACATCTTCTGCCACCGCACCACGCCCTACCACTTTGAGGAGGACGACGGCTGGATGGCGCAGAACTTCTTCAGCGGTGGCACCATGCCGTCGTTCGACCTCTTCGCCCACTTTCAGCAGCACGTCACGCTGCAGCAAAACTGGTGGGTCAATGGCAACCACTATGCGCGCACCTGCGAGCACTGGCTCAAGACGCAGGACCGAAATCAGCGCAAACACAACTCGATCAAACTCCTCCGCCAGGATGCCCACAAGAAGGGCAGCAACGCCATCGAGGGCGAAAAGACCTTTTACAGGTTCAGAATCTTCTACCTCGCCTGTGCCGAGTTCTTTGCCACCAACGGCGGAAACGAGTGGGGCGTAGGCCACTATCTCTTCGCCAAGAAGTAGCGCCTTTCCGCCCCTTCGCTACGCATGCTTCTGTCTCAGTCACGAGACCCAAGTCGAAATGCAATGGAATGCAATGGATTCATGTGGGTATCCCTCTGTGTGTGTGTGTGTGTCTGCTAGGCAAACTGCGTGATGGCCGGTGCGGCGTCGCCAAAGAGCCTCCAATGGGCGAACTCGGATTCGCCGAACCGCAAGAGCGTGGTGATGCTTCCATCCACGATGGCGAGCACCACGGATCGTCGGCCCGCCTTGAGCGGGGGGAAGACGTTGGCGCCAGCGTTGTTGCGCTGCTGTGGGCGTCGCGCCTGATACCGCGCCTTGTCGCTCCAGCATCCGGGAGGACAGTGTCGGAAGAGTCTCGCCCACATGCGCAGCACCTCGTAATCCAGCTTGAGCAGCCTCCACAGCCACCTTGCTGCGGCGGTGCGGGTGAGTGTATGCAGCATCGCGGCGAGGCGACCTTGGTTGGCGGCGTTGGAAGCGGCCCTGTTCGCGGCGGCCGCCTGGCGCGCAGCCGCCTTTTCGCGCAGATGCTTCTGCTTGCCCTCGCTAAACTTGCCGTATGCGGCGCGGTTCTTGGCGTCGTTGGCCGCCTTGAGCTGCTTCTCGTACTCGACGCGCTGCTTGAACTCCTCCTGGCCCATTTCGCCTTGCGAGGGCAGAGATGCGATGAGCTCGGCGTCCGATCCGGGCATCGGGATGTGCGCAAACACCTCGCCGAATTGCCATACGCTCGGAAGCGGCGTAGTGCGTGCGTTGAGAATCACGATGCGGAACTCGGGCGCCGGCGGGTGCGACTTGCGATACACCGTGGCTGGCCGCCACGCGTAGTAGAAAGGCTTCAACCCCGCCTCCCCCTCCCCCGCGGCGGCTGTGGGGGTGGATGTGAGAGGGAGCGAAAAGTCGTGACCAGAGGGTACCATTTGCATCGAGGTGAACACGTCGTCGTAGCTGGTCCACGACGCTTGGTGAGGTAGGAAGCGGCGTACGTCGTCGTAGCCGCCAAGGCCGAGCGACAGCCCCACCGCACCTGGCTTGCGGGAGCCACTGGTTGCGATGCGTGCAAACCGCGCGCCGATCAGTGCCAGCACTCGGCCGATGGTGTTGCGCCATGCATGCTGCATCCATCGTGCGACGGCACGTGCCGCATCGGCACCCAGCTGCGCAATGCGCCGCGGCACGTACAGCAACACATCCCAGAGCGTGACGAGCTTGATGGGGCGTTGCGGGTCTGCAACGATGCCCTGCGCTCTTGCCTTGCTCGGCGGGATGGGAGCGGCACGCACGGCATCCACGATGCTCGCGCGCTGAACCACGTACCCGAGCCGCTTGAGATGCGCATAGATCAGATACGCCTCGCGCGTCAATGGCTCGTCGGCCGCCTCGTCCGAGGCGAGCATGAGCGCTGCGAATGCCTGCTGCAGCGACATGGGTGCCAGAGCATCCGAGTCCTCTGCTTGCGTGTAGATCTGTAGGCTGCCGCGCTCGGCCAGAAAGAGCGCCTCTTCCGGCAGCAACTCGTTGGTCGCCTGCGTGACGGTCTTGCCTGTCGAGTCGGTGGTGGGCGTGCGACGAATCACGCCGACCGTCTCGAAGATCTTGCCCTGCACGTCGTGGATGCGCGCACGGCGGCTGCGCGGATTCCAAGTGGCACGGACGAGCGAGCGAGACCCAACCGTGCGCGAGCCCGACACGGCCTGGTACATGGCTTGGCGACTGCGCTCGAGCAGCTTGGACTGGCCACCGAAGCCCGTAGGTTCAAAGTCCTTCTCGCCGCGTTTGGGGATGACGATGCCCGAGGAGGACTTGGAGCGCGGCTGCAATGAAGAAAGAAGGCGGAGGTAGTCGGGAACCTCGTCTTCGTTGTCCGAGTCGTCGCCTGCGCCGCCTGCGCCGCCCGCGCCGCCCGACGTGGGAGCGCGCGAGGGGGTGGAGGTGGGATCGTCCATGTCGTCGGCGACGAACGCAACGCCAGGCGTGCCCGGCGGTGTAGACGGGGTGGCAGGTGTAGTGGTGCTCCGAGAACTGCCAGATGCAGCACGCCGAGGCGTCGAAGGTTCCGACATATCTGAGATGGAGAGGTGGTGGTGGAAGCGTCGACGATGGCGATTGACGGTTGGCCAAAACGTGGAGGCGGCGCAGCAGCAGCAGCAGCAGCAGTGGAGCTGAGCTGAGCCCTTCAGAAAAGTCTCAAAAAAATTGCACCGACAAAAAAGGCGTCTTGCAACTGGACCCTGAATCACATTCACCGCTTGTTCGCACTCACGACTCGAGGTACAACGTGCATCGAATCTGGGATTGATCATGCTTGGCTACGGCTGTGACGATGGCGGCGTCCACACGATGTTACCCTTTGCATCCTCGACCCTTGTAAAGTATTCTACGGGCAGCACGCCCTCCTGCCCCTTGCCCGGTGTCAGCACGACGCCATTCGAGGAAAGCGCAAACTGGAAGCCGTCGGCGATGGCGCGGCGCACATCGACAAAGATGAGCCGGTTGGCCGACTTGCGCATGCCGGACACGACGCCCTTTTGGCCGAACTTGCCCTTGGCCAGGTGGATGTGGTTGCGCGACATGCGCTTCAGCCCGCCACTCGCCAGGATCTGTTGCCAGGCATCGGCGAATGTGCCATGCACCACCTCCACCTTGCTCTCTTGCAGTCCGAGTTGGGCGTCGATCTCGTCGGCAAGATCATCGGCATCGTCGTTGTCGTCGTCGTCTTGGAGCTTGAGCAGGTGCAGGTTGGTGAGTGTGAGTGGCGTGTGTGAGAGCTCGACCACCTGGCTCAACGAATGCCCCTGCACAGCGCGTACGAGCCAGGTCCCGTCAAACAGCAGCTCGAACCGCTTCTTGTCGTTGGTATCTACGATCTGCTGAATGTCTTCCAGTGCCGGCCGACGTTTCTCACCGGGCTCCTCGGCCATGTTGACGCTCTTGACGCGCGGACGATCCAGCACATCGTCGAGGGCAATGTACCCATCCGGCCGCATCGAAAGCCCTTCCTTGTCCGCTCCGTGCCGAAGAATGTATGCCAGCGCACGCGAGAGCTGTTCGCCGCTGGACTGCGGCCGCCGATGGCTCTCCTTGGGCTTGGATGAAGATGAACCAGGAGCGGGTTGCGCCTGCTTGGCCGCCTTCTTTTCGGCCGCCTGCTGCGCCTTGAGTGCCTTTTGGGCTTCTTTGCGGGCTTTGCGTTCGAGATTCACCGCCGGCGCCTCGACTCCAGCCGCGGTGGCAGATTCGCCCGTGCTGGGCTGAGACGACGACATTGCCAGTCTTGCCAGTCTTGCCAGATGGTGGTTTCGGTGCAGACAAGCCGCGCTTTGCAAAAGTGTGGAGGCGTCGCCAAAAATCGAAGCCTATGTGAGATCGCCTTCATACACATTTGTTCATGTAGGCGCCCTCTCGTGCGATTGGAAGAACGGCGTGCGCGGGGAGAAAGCGAGCCGGTCCGACCGGTTGGCCTTCGCGCAAACCAGGCGCCCTCGTGCGAGGCGGAAAGCGGTGGAAGCCAGGTGCATGAGCCCGCAAGCTCGCTTCCGCCGTGTGGTTCCGTGATGTCGTGCTGTGCGAGCGATGTTTGGCCCGCGTGTGCGATCATGCATTCTATCTAATCTAGTGTAGTCCGTGCGCGCCTTTGTTAGCCCCGCATAAACACGGCGGGCTGAATGCACATCGGAGAGCGCCAGATGGCATCGGCGGATTGGGATGGCAGAGAGAGGCACAGAAGAATCCGGGAACGCTCGCCGGGGGATCGACACAGCCCCCCCCCC